GTATATCGATTATGTCTTATACGTAATTTTGCCCGATAATTCCAAGGACACGGCCGCCATCAAACGAAATGCCCTCCGATTCTATTACGATTCAGTTTCTCAAATCCTGTATCATAAATCACACGATGGAGTTTTACTTCGATGTATTTCTAGAAAGGACCTTCACTCATTCAGTAAACTTTGCTAGGCCCACAAAGTTCACCTAATGGTCGTTTTAGAGCTATTTTTAAGGGATAACCGATCCCCAATATCTTCTACTTTTATGGCCACTTAATCCAAATTAAGGAGATTATTAACTCTTTTTTAGCCTATAAAAGGAGAGTAGATCATCCATTTTTGAGAGGTGGAAGAAAAAAGTTGGGCAAAAGAATTAGCACACACATCGCACTTGTGATTCCATTGAGAAATATTGCTAATACTCTCATCAACAGTAAAAAAAACCCATTCTCTTAATCGGTGCGTCAACGGAGTATAAGATCGATGCTCCACCGGCACATGGAAAAGAATCCCAGGAAATATAATTTTTTCTTCATTTTGTTGTTAATCTTTTATTGTAATCTGCATCAATTATAATATTAAAAGATCCCGAAATAGAAACAAGCAAGTAATTCAGGATGCCCGTAGATCAGGAAGCCGCCGCTATTTATTAGTGTCCCTAACCTAAGAAGGAAAGTGAAGGAGGGAGTCTAGGACGGAATTAGCTGCTGTCAAAGAGTCGAGAGTCGAGGGACAGAGATTAGTGCCCAAGGGGTTATGGAAAATAGGAGGCTCAACAGCTACGTTTAGGAAAACTAGTTTTTACACACGTGCAATGCACGTGATTTAATACCATGATTAAGTATTTTTGGCAGTTTGTGCTCACTTTTTTCTTTAAACTCTTACATCCCGATTATTTTTTTATGTTTGTTTAAATGGGATACACCCAATTTAAATTTTCATGTTGATATTTGAATTGACAAAAAACAAATATAATTTAAAAATAATTTGAATTTTCATATTATTTTTGACCGATATGAAACTAAGCTTTATTTGAGAAAGTATAGCATTGCAAAGTGAAAAATATTAAAATAGTGTTATACAAGGAAGGTGAATATTTAAAACCAATATGGCAAAATGATTGATTTAAAGTATGTTAAAACGATGCAAAAGAGAATATGAAGTTTATTCCTAATCATTGATAGACTTCATAAAAAAATATAAATTAAAGATTAATGCTAACTCTAGTATACTTTTATATGATAAAAACATCCACATAAGAATATAAAAGTACTGAAAAAAATTCATGAAACTCCCTTCTAAAGATTCCTAATTTCACTCAAAATAATTAAACTATTCTATAAAATATTCATAAAATATTGTTTTTATTTCTTCTATTTTATTTTTTATTGAGTTAAGATCAATCCTTCTTCAGGTTTATCATTTATCATTTCTCGGACAATTCTAGAGTATTGTCTTCATCATCTACATCAATTGTGACATCAGGCTAATTTTGTATTTTTTATGCTATTATCTTTCCTAGGCTCGTTAAAATACCTGCATTATTCATTACCAATTTCTCTTAGATTATAACATTAATATTTAATTTGAAGAACATAAAATGGAATTTATGAATACTTACTAATTTTTCTTATGTCTTCCATGGAGATATTTTCTTTGATTAGGATAAAGTTATTAAATTAGTTTTTAATGTAACTCGTTCAGCGCTTCATTAATAGATATGTCTTATGTTAATGCCAATTCAAGTGATTCATTGACTTTTTCTGAATTTTAGATTTATTTCCATCACTTTCTCATTTGCAATGGAAATAACTCAATTCTTTTAAGGTTATCTCTAAATATTCTAATAGTTTCTCCATATGTAATTCCTTGTATTCTTTTACCCTATAAATATTATTAACGTCAAAGATTAAAGTTTCTAAATTAAAATCAATTAATGCTAAGGTATAATATTATAGTGTTTTATCATTTCTATGGATTTAAACATCTATCAATTAATGTTACGAATGTATTTTGGCTACCCCAACTTATTACTAAAATTATATGAAATTACTTTAATTTATATAGTGCCGATAATTTTTAATCTATAATATTTTTAAAAATTTTATCCATTAACCGGATGTTTTTAATCAATTCTTATTGTTTTTGTTTACCAGTATCAACTTAGACTATTCTTAGATGCTGAAAATGGATAGTAAATCCCTAAATTAGAAATTTTAATATATATATATATATATATATATATATATATGAAAAATACCAAACAATTACACTTTTCTTTGCCAAGTTTTAAAATTTTTAGCCCATTTTTATGGTTTTGAACTTTGAGGGTGTGATTTATAATTTTTAAAATTTTGTAAGACTTTTTTAAAAAATTTACTTTTAAGTTTGGTAGTTGTAAATTCTATGTTTCATGTGTTGGTGGTAATTTTTTAAATGTTAGTATATTTCTTGTAACTCTAAAATTTTAAGGGTATCTTTTGTAATTATTAAAATATAGATTAATTTTAAAAAATATTAAATTTCAGCGGTCTACCAATCGACGAATTTGATGTGTGCTAGTTAAAAATTTTGAAAATTTAGAGTTTTTTTACGATTTTTAAATTTTGAAGGAGTTTTTTAAAAATTTTGAGGTTAATTTTGGCAAATTTTAATTTTTAGGTGTCTAAGGGTAATATCTTGAATTCATCTTATTTTATTTACAAATTTTAGAATTTTAGAGTGGCTTTTTATAATTTGAACTTTTGAAGGTGTTTCTATAATTTTTGAGATATTGAGGGTGTTAATTAAAAAATTTAAATTTAAATGTCAAAAATTTTAGGTGTATCATGGTAATCATTTAAATGTTAAAAATTTTAGGTGTATCATGGTAATCTCTTGAATTCATCTGTGTTGTTTGTAAGTTTTAAAATTTTAGAATTTTAATGTGTTTGTCTGTAATATAAACTTTTGAGGGTGTTTCTATAATTTTTGAGACATTAAGGTGTTAACTGTAAATTTTAAATTCTTTGCAAACTGATGTTAATTTTTTAATTTCATTTTTTTTATTTTAAGTTTTGAGACATTTGGATGAGTTTTATAATTTTGAACTTTTCAGGATCTTTTCTACAATTTTAAAACTTTTTATGGTTTTTTTGCAATACTTCATGTATTATAATATGTTATCTACTTGTAATTTCTTTATCTTAACAAACTAATATTATTTTTATGTTTTATATATTTTATTAATATTAGTTTTTTTAAATTGTTAAGCTAAACATGGTTCACATAGGATTAGGATAAGATATGATTATGATTAGGATAGATTAAGATATAAATAAAATATTCAAAATAGTGAAGGGTAATATTGACCATTGAAAATTAGAATTTGATTATAGATAAGGTAGTTCAAACTATAAAGGGGTATATTTGTCTAAAAAAGATTTTCCGAACTCGTGCTTTTAAAGGGAGTATGAAAATTAATTAATTAAATAAAGCAGTTTTCATTAGAACAAGCAACATAATGCTTTTAGACTTTCTGGTGGAGATACAGAGCCAGAGACAGTGTCACAGTATAGCTACGACATGTTGACTATATATGCATGCATCAATAGCTAAGTTTGGGTGAAGTTTAGTTGCTCCTTAAAGCGTATAGGTTTGGGGGTTTCATTGCTCAACCAATAAGGAGAGGGGGAAAGGAGAGGTGTACTACCGTAAAATGGATTGATGAATGCTGTCTATTCGATTGATAAAGATAAAGCAAAGCAACGAACTGATAGCTTACAGTTAGCTGATCTCCACCATTTTGGAGTATGATTGAGATAATGTTAACACTGCACATGGACTCTACTGCCTTGTGCTCTACAGAATCCAATTTTGGTAATACATCTAAGAAATTATTCCATTTGACATACTCTTCCTGGGATGCGGGAATAGCGACATGAACTAAATGTCCTGTTTAAGCTAAGGAGCTTAAAACTTTGCATTTTTGAACCATGAAACGCTAAGTTTCCATTTGGGTTGTAGGTGTAACCAACTCGTTATTAAGGATATAGAAAAAAGAAATAATAGAAAAAGAACTCCAGTACAAAGATCTTCATTAGCGCGCAATCCGGTTGTATACCACCACTATTAAACATTGAAACAAGCGATATTCACTAGGCCAATAGCACCTCCTCGCCTAAAGGCTTCTACAGCGGGTTGACCAAAATGAAGGTCCAAAATTGCATGAGCAATAGGCCTCACAAGTAAAGGATCTTGTATCCACGACTCAAAATTTCCTTGACAAGCTACGTGAAACAAATTTTCAGATATCCACAGAAAGATTATTGCCAAACTCCCCGACTGGAAAGACTTAGTTTGCTTGTCGGATCTTCTTCTTCCCTATATTTTCTATCTTAATAAGAAGTGAGTGCTCCTTATTAAACGAGGTTTACTGGTCCTCTGAAAGCGTGCATTTCTCTTTTTCCTAAATGAAAGAAAGAGTCAATTCCTTTGTCGAAGGATCAATCTCAGCCGAACCATTAACTTGCCTCCAACCATTAATTTGACGAGATATTTTCCTCAAATCTAATCTAAATTTATTTAACTTGAAGGATCATTTTGCAAAACCTCATAGGATTCGAGAGATTAAAATGAAATTACTAAAATTTGAGGGACTGATATGAAATTGTTGAAAATGAAGGGGGTAATATTATAAGCCTTTCCTAGATTTAATAGAGCGGACTCTTATTATGTTCTTTTCTGTAATAAAATAATGAAGTAATTGGTGAGATTCTTATCTGCTTGATTGTCCGATAGTTTAGGAGAGGCATTAGGGACACACCCTCTACTACATTCTTAACTACACCATCTCTTTACTATAGTGTACGGGGTCCACTTGAGATTTTGAATTATTAAAATCTCAAATGGGCCCTGTATACTGTAGCGAAAGAGATGGTGTGGTTAAGAGTGTGGTAAAGAGGGTGCCCTATCATTATTTTTTAGAATAGGCCAGCGCTGCTCTTGCTTGCCCTGTTGGACTCCTCCCGTCATCCCCCAAAAAATATTAAATTTTGATTAGCACCCATTAAAAGATTGGATAAAAGGTAAAATCTTGCGTCAAAAAGTCAAGATTTTGGTGCTTTGATCTGATGCAATTGGCTAAAAATTGGTGGTTGAGAGTCTTCAGACGCCAACCTCCTCCATTTGTTAGGTAGCTTATTCTTTATTTATTTCTAATTAATTTTGGTGCTTTTCATCTATCTTTTTGTCTATTAAAAGCTTGATTTTTGTAGAATCAGCAGCAGATTTTGCAGCAGCAAAAGGAGAGGGGTAGATATGGGGACTTACGCCCAGCTTGCGCAGAGAGCGTTGAAGACTGAGAATCCTGTCATGGTTCAGGTCAATTTGAATTGGGTTTCTCTTAACTTTGTTGAATATTTGTTATTTCTCTTCATTTTGATTTGTTGATAAGGGAATCTCTGAAATGGGTTTATCGTTTATATTTGATCGCTTTGCAGATTCAAGAACTGATTCGTTCAGCTGGTCGAGATGTGACCTCGTTGGCTCAGGTTTGGTATTGTCTCTCTTTTACGTGGTTTGAACAGTTTGATGAGTTCATTTAGTCTTTAATTTATGAAGGACTATACTATGGAAGCTTTGTGGACATGCTTAATTGGATGTTCACAAGTATTATAGATAGTAGAACTTGAGGATGGGGTAGACTTGGCATCAAGTAAGAGCTTCTATAAACAAATGATCACTGAGGGGACCTAGGAATATTGGAATTTGTGAATCAAAGAGGTGTGAGTCAAACCGTCGATTCTTAGGCACATCTTTTTTATTAAATAGTGGAGGTTATGTTAACATTCGCAGTTTGGAAATATTTTGCTCCAGAATAATGTTTCTTTGCGTGGGGTTGGGGTGGGGGTTGGGGAGAAGAGGAGGAAGCTGCCATTTTGTCTTTATTGTGTAGTGTTAGAATTAATATAAAACTATAATCCTCCACCCTCACAATAACTTCGGAGTTTTAGTCTAATGGTTAGAGGAGCTAAATTTAAGATGTAGATTGATTAAGATTCTTAAATCAGTTAGAAGTATTAGCCTTTGGCCCCTTTGTAACTTGGGAAATATTCTTTTCCTCATTTACTGACATCTTTCTTTGATGCGTCATGTGTGTATCGTATCATTCCTAATATACTAGCCAAGTCCATGTAGGCCTACTGCAGAAGTTTCAGATAAATGCATTGTTGTTATTTTGTGTGTGTGCAGGCATCCATACTAGGTTTATCCTTATCCCCTTCAACATATTAAGTATCTTTAAGTTGTGATATTATTTCTGTGGTTGAGACGAGATCAAAGTATTTGTGTAAGAAGTACCAGTCATGTCATTTTATTAAGATACAGTTGGTACAACAAATATATATATTAATATGATAAACTTACTATTTGATCATGTTTTAAGTGTAAGAAGTATCAGTCATGTCATTTTATTAAGATACAGTTGCAACATGTTTTAAGTTTCATTTTTGCATCGGTTTTCCTTGAAAATCAGTATGGCATTATTTCATTTATGGTTGAGGTGGGTAGTACATTTCAGAGGATGGTGACAGATTATGCATGACTATAATTTAACGTTCAATGAAATTTATTGCAGGGTGTAGTTTATTGGCAGCCACCTGAGAAAGCATTGAACAGAGCTAAAGAAATCGTGTGGGAACCTTCCACTAGTCATTATGGTGCTGATGAAGGCCTTCCAGAACTCCGGCAGGCTTTGATTGAGAAGGTTATCGATTGTAAACTTAGGACTATGAGAATAATATTAGTAGTTATATCACATTCTTATGATGTTGCTTGTGTTGGATTAAAATAAAATACCTTTCCCCTAGATCTTAAAAGCTAGATAGGCAAAGTAAGCAGTTTATTACTCGTTAATTTCCTTTGCAATGAGTTTAACTTTCAGTGTCAATTAAAAAAAAAATCAGATCCTTAGATTTTAGGTAGTATTTGAGTATTTGAAAAAAGTTTAGTTATATTGAGGCTAAATAACAAACCTTATATGCTTACTTTGTGATTTAGTGTAATCATCGTTACCTTGCCTACTTATTGCTTCACTGCTGCTGTTTATGATATACTTTTGCCCTTTTGATCTATCTACTTGATCAAGTTTACTGGATTCTCATATATCCATGGAGAGAAAACTCAACCTATACAAGTATTAGTGTTCTGATGAGGGTATAAACTTGTCATAGCAATGTGAACTTCCTTTTTCAACGTCTTCAGATAATTAACTCCTTTATATGCACAATGTGGATTATTACAAGCTTGCCTGTAGTTTCCTCTTTGATAATTAATAGATGTGATTAAAGAGACACGAGATTTCCTCTTATTGCAGTAATAATATGAATTAAATAGATATGACAATTGATGGTTCAGCATTCATTATAGTATTTAATGAAAACAGTTTTGATACTAAGATGATTGCTACCTAGAAAAGTAACTAATCATTCAGATTTGCAATTAGTCTATACTTTTTCATGTAACCTTGCACAAAGGGCACATTTGTTAAGGAGATAATTAGGTTTTACTATTTCTGTGATGAATTTTGGTTCTATGGGTCAATGAGAGGCTATATAACTTATTTTACTGAATCCTTGAATCCTCGGGCTAAAATCTTTTTGAAGTTCAAGAGAAGGTTGAAGAACATGAGGAATGCTGAAACCAAAACCGAAGTAAATGCTGAAATTGCTGAAAATAAACTTTTTAAGTACAAGCCATACTGAAACCAAATCCAACTAAAGCTTTCTTTGACTAATTTTACTGTCAAATTTTTGTATGTTTAATACTACCCTACCATTTTACTCTGGCATTTATTGAAAACATGAAAAATGATTAGATTGATCATATATTTTTCTATGGTAAAAGTTGCTTCTATATATGTCATTATTTACTTAAAATTTGTTGGTTGCAGTTACGTCGGGAAAATAAATTGACCAAGTCTTCTGTTATGGTGACAGCTGGTGCAAACCAGGTGCGTAATTGAATCTTTGTTTACACCATGTTGCTTAATATAAATCCTAACCAAAACCTATGAGCATGGATAAAGATGGTCCTTTTAATTGAGTGGAGAAAAGGGATTCACATAGCAACCCAAAGATTTGGAATAAAGGCTTGGTTAATCTGTTGAGCTTACACTTTCTTTCTTATTATAAGTTTAACTCATTTTAAAGTTTCTCTTTGATGTATTATTTTATATTGTTTCAAATGAGCAAGATAACTCTTCTGTTATTGTTTTCTTGTGTGTTAACTAGTTTAATATTTGTGAACTCTGATTTAATGCTTCCTTCATGTTTTTCACAGGCCTTTGTGAACATTGTCCTTACACTATGTGATGCTGGGGACTCTGTTGTTATGTTTGCACCATATTACTTCAATTCATACATGTCCTTCCAGATGACAGGTGTCACTGATATTTTGGTTGGTCCTAGCAATCCCAAGACCCTTCAACCTGATGCAGGTGAGACTCCTAATTTTTTCTCAACTAGAAAGTTAAAGTGCTGATTGATCTGTTAACTCTCACTACTTGAGATTCTGAGAAGTGATGCCTATCATTCAGTAAGATGACATATTTATGAGATTTTTCAAGTTAGTCCTTGACTGAAAGGTTCAAGTGAAGTTATTCTCTTGTACCATATATATTATAAGGGTTAGTTGCACATAGACCCCTTGTACTATCACACTTTGGAACTTAAAGGTTATAGCCCATGTAGTTTGATTTTGGCAGGTCGATCCCCGAGGTGAACTTTTTTTTATTCTTTTCCCCTGGGGGAAGTTTGGCCAGATATTTCTAAGGTAAAATTAGTAAGTTTATCTGAGTGTAAAAGAGTAAAAAAAAAAAAATTCATCGAGATAACCAGGGGTAGTATGTTCCAAAGTGCTATACATCAAGGGGTCTATATGCAATTAACCCTATTTATAAATGGTCTCAGTAACATAAATTAAAACTACCTACTAATCATTTTTTCTAAATAAAGTACATATTCGTTCTTATTTATGATATCATTTTGAATGCATGGATATTGTTAAGATGTTTCTCCCTAACCTTTTAATTTAATACATAATAAATATCCTTATTATTATTTCTATGTGTAGATTGGTTGGAGAAGGTTCTTACAAAGCAAGATGATAAACCACTTCCCAAGCTTGTTTCTGTTGTAAACCCTGGAAACCCATCTGGTGCCTATATCCCAAAACCACTCCTCCAGGTACTCACATGCACATTGCTTCATGTGTGCATGACCAGTTCTTTTTTCTAATTGTATTATTTATAAATGTCCTTTTCCAGAGAATTTCAGATCTTTGTAAGAGCGCAGGAGCATGGCTTGTTGTAGATAACACCTATGAGTAAGTATAAACTAATTGACTTACAAACTCAAGTTCATTCTAATCCTATTTCAAGTTGATAATTGTTTAGATGTGTATTTGTAATTTTATTCTAAATACCTCATTGGATTTGACATCTTCGATGTAAAAAATGCTTCTAAGACAAATTTTCTTTTGAAGAAATTATACCTGAATGCTATAAACGACTGCCATAGGAGACCATATTATAGCCGGAGTTCTTAGGAGTAGATAGATCAAAATGAACTTGAACTGAGGCAGTAATAAAGGATAATGTAGTGCTTATTTGACGGAGATTGACATTACCAATGCTGTCTGTGAAAAGGGATTCATGGTCTTAGAGTAAATACTTGGGATGAAGGCTTTGTTGTTATTTTTATATTTGAAAGCTTTGTGTATGAGCATTGTTCTAAATCCATATGAAAGGAAGCTAGAAGAGTGCAAAAAGAAGGATGTGATTAATATTATCTCTGAAAATATATAATTCTAAGGTGTATAAGGGCATCTGAGCCAAGTCAGCTTTTCAATTTAAATAATTAGAAAGTGGGATGGAAAGAAAATGATGATATGTGAGGCTCTCCTCCTCTTATCAAAGAAATATTTGCATCCTGTTTTTTTTTGTTGTAATAAATTAAGTTTGTCTCCATTATATCCATTTCATCTGACCATGTCAGATGTAAACTTGTACAGAGTTGTGTTTCATATGTAAAGGAACTT